TACTTTAACCAATATTTATTTTTCCAGGTGTCAGGGATGTCAGAATATTTCCTGTGGCACCTGATCCAGTGTCAGCAGGTGGGAAAAAAGAGGAGCATAGCCACCCTTTCCCTCTGTTCAAACTCCCATCATGTTTTACCATTCTGAGTACAGTTTATGAGCCATGGAAACTTTTAGAGGATGAAGTTCCCTGTTATATCATTGTCTATATTTGGACTAAGGATAGTTAAACTGACAGTAAACACTGCCGGCAATAGCTTTCCATGGTGCTGAATTGAGGGCTTTTGCCACCATATTCCCCTGCAGGCTATCCAAATCTTTACTATAGTGTACATGTGGGATTCAAAAACTGTCCAGCAGCAGTTACATTTGTCTGGTATATATTCATCTTATTGTAAGTAGGGGTGAGTGTGACTGTGGAATGCAGTGTGAATCCCATCAAATGTCACTAGGGCGAATGTCAATAATTGCCCCACCAAATCATTGAAAAATTACCACAGTCTTTCTTTAAGGCTGGATTTTTTTAAAGACTATACTAGGGAATAGAAAGGTTATTTGTGAGTGTATCAGGAGTAGAAGTACCGTTGTTTTTACTAGGGATCTGTAAAGAACAAACCCATAAAAATAAATTCAATTTCTGTTAGTGTAATACGATATCTGCTTGCTTGTTACTGTACATTTATTTATATAAAACCAGTCAAAATGAAATGTATTTATATATCCCAGCTGAACCCCGGAAAGATAATAAAATACCAGTTAATGCAGTTATATATTTATTAACATTATTAAATGTATTATTATATGGAAATGATGTTTAAAAAATGCTAAGTAGGATTTTTGCTCCTGGAGTTTTTAGAAAAGAGCATTTTAAAAGGTAAGAAGCAATTCTTACATTTTTCTAAAGTTTCTCCAATGATCCATTACAATGGTCTTGTACAAAGAGGCATTGCCATTTTGGGCTCATTTACATCAGCGGGTGTGCATAATGTATGTGCTGGTGTGCGCTGTGCATGCTTGCCATGATGCATTATTATAATGCATTGCAGTGCATGTTTTTTGTCCCTTAAAATGTAATTAACTTTATACCTTATTTAACTCTATGCGTGGCAATGTGTTGCAATGCGTTAGTGTTGCGCATTGGAACATGCTTTGTTGCTTAAAAATGCAATATGTCTTATTATTTTTCTCTGTTGTATTGGTGAGAACTGAAAGACTAGGACCTAGGGCCCATTCACACCATAGCATTGCACCATTGCAAAGAGCATGATACCACACCCCAGCTGTGCTGGTGCGTTGCATTGCCCTACATTCTTATAGGCACCCCTACTCAACTCCCAGCAGGCATGTGTTGCAGTGCAACGAGTGGTACAAAATAATGTGGGGTTGCGCCACTTGTGTGTTGGGGTGCCATTGAGAAGAATTGGCACTGCAACAGCAAACCTAGCGGGTAGTACCATGCACTAAGCGATAGCATGTACTAAACGCACAGACCCCGTGTGTTTAGTGCAACGCTGTGGTGTGGTGTGAATGGGTCCATAAGGCAAATTGCCTTGACTATTTGTTGCATTCTGGGTTGGGCAACACTGCCTAATGATCCCAACTGAGCTGGTGTAAATGAGCTCTAAGAACCCATTCGCACATAAGCATTTTTCAGCTTGTTTCCCCATGCCTGACCATGCTCAACATGCAGAATGCTTTCTAATTGTACCTGTTCCCACCTGAGCGTTCACACGCTCAGTCACCCTAAACCTTACTCTCAAAGTACATGAGCTTTTATGTTGAACATAAGCAGGAATTTTTGGCCCCAGAGAGTTCAATGGGTGCTCTTGTAAACATGCAACATATGAGTTGTTGTATGTTTTTACATGCAATGCAAAGTGTGAATGGGTCTGTGCTTAGGGTATAAGTACATCCCTGATTTTCTGTACCAGCTTTTCTCAACCATGGTGCTGTGGACCCTGGGGTGCTTTATGGCCTCCTCAGGGGTGCCTTGAAATGTTTCCACAGCGTCACGCCTTTCCATGGTGCAGGGCAGGCAGCCTGTCCACCAGCACCATGGAAATTACACTAATCCAGGGAGGGTGGAACCCATTCAGAACAAGATGGAAGTTCACCTCTGCCTAGGTCTGCTCTACCTCCCCTTGCCTGCCATTCTGTGGCTCCTGATGTTAGGGTAGGACTGAGATGTGAAGAGGGAACTCATATTTCAGAAGTGAAAGGGGGTCTGCTGTAAAGGGGGCTCCTGATTTTGCATGTAAGGGCCGATTCACACCAGCAGCTGCGATACAATGCACAGCTGCTGGTGCGACTTGCTAGACACAGTGCTGATCCCAGCACATACAGTAGCATTGCTTACCTTTTTTTTGGGTTAGAACATTATTGAAATGTCACAAGTAGCATTTAATTAATAAAATAACACCCCAGGAATGTAAAAGGTTAACCCTTGCAGTGGTCTTGGGGCCAGAATACAGAAGATATGCTTACCTAATCCTTGGTCCTGCGTCGGTCACTTTCCTATTTTCCCCTCCGCTCCGACTGTGGTATGTTCCTCAGCATCCTCACATCTAATGCAGGTGAATGGACTGCATTAGACATGATGATGTCAATGGTGCTTACACTGCCAGAGCCTGGGGGAAACAAGGCTGTGGGGACTGGTCTAGCAGCCAGATGGGACCGCAGATCAGGTGAGTATATTTTTTTAATTTGAGCCCCCTGACCAAAACAAGCACTTAACCCTTGAATTGCAGGGATAACTCCACTGCAAGGGTTAACTTTTTGTGTTCCTGTAGTATAGGCACAAGTGCGGCACAATGCTGTTGTACCCCGCTGCACTAGAAAAAACGTTTTCAGCGCATACTACTGCAAGACAATAGTGTAAACTCAGCCAATTCGAAAATCAAATCAAATTGCGCAAAAAAAAAAGCGGCCAGCACAACCCGCATCTTATGTGAATCTCGTCTTAAAGAAGGACTCCGGGCATAATAAAAATGAACCCCTGCAGTGGGGCTACTTCCACACTGCAAGGTGTAAAGTGACACTAAACTCAGGAGTTAAATCTTAAAAATGCATTCACGTACCCAAACCATTAACAAAAATGTATATTATGTGTGTATCACTCAACTGTAGATTCTCAAATCATATCTGAATTGGTGCTGACACTGTCCTTCTGGAGGGTGGCTACGTTTGTTCCTCATGGTCACTGTGTGTTTTAAAGTAGTCACTGCTCCAAGCTCGCTCCCGTGATGGACTGCAATCTCACGCTTATTTTACTAATTTGTATTGAGATTGTAGCCCATTATGGGAGTGAGCTTGGAGTGGTGGCTACTTTACAACATACACAGGGACCATGGGGCTATTTTTCCATACCATAAGCGGTAACACCGAGCTACACTCGGGAATGCCGCATAGCATTACTTGCCTTGTCCCACGAGCCGCGCTGTGTTTGGGTTCCGTCCCTTGCGAGCGTACGCGGCGGGATATTAAAACAAAAAAAACTATAATAATTTGTGAAAATATAGACCAAAAAAGAAACGAAAAAAAAAATCATACCGCCAGGGAGGTTAATAAGGTATTTGAATTCATTTTTTCCGGACTCTGTGGCAGCCAATCTCTATGCCCATAGCTCTTAGCTTGTGAAGTAAGCGTTTATGAGGTACCGTATCAATCCATGTGTGAAAATTATGTCTCATGCTCCCTGAATCATTATTTTACAATTTGAGCCCGATGAATCCTGGTCACCTTTTAATATGCCCGTCACCAGGAAAACCTGGTCATTCAGTATACTGTATTCAGATAGGCAGCTCACCTAATTTTTTGGCACATAACCTTGCTGAACCTAGACCTATTATCTGATGGAAGCAGTGTCGTAACTATAGCCATAGCAGCCCAGACGGCTGCTATGGGTCCTGAGGGTGGAAGGGGGCCCCATTAGGCTGTTGAGGCAAACTAAACATAAAACATGTGAAGATAATACAGTACTGCAGTGGCGTCACAAGGGGGGGGGTGCGGCCCACCCGGGTGCCACCATTGGAGGGGGTGATAATTTTGGTGTCACCCCCTATAAAAAGTAGGGCACTGGGTCACGAACCAAGAGCCCGACAGTGTCAGGAGAGAGGAGGGTACCCGGCGGCATACCTCATCCTGCCAGGTGAATGTCCCCTCCTCTCTCTGCCAGCATCCATCACTAAGATGGCCGTCGGCAGGCTTTAATAAGACGACCGCGCATCCACGATGACGTAATCACGCATGCGGCAACGTCACACGCATGCACAATGACGTCATGGCGGGGTGTCACCCAGTCTCCGCTGCTTGTGTCACCCAGCCTCGGGACGCCCCTGCAGTACGGTATCATTGAATGGTTGCAGCTGATGAGAACTCTAATCCCATGTAAAGTCTACCGTTTAAAGACGACTTCAGGTGCACAAGAGGGACCTTTTAGGATCTTGGCATCATTACTAACAGCTCAGAGAGAGGCCATCAGGGTGGCCCCCCATCACATTTTTGCTATGGGGCCCTGTGGTTTGTAGTTACAGCCATGGATAGAAGGCTCTTACCTATTCACTTATCTAAATACAAGTGGTGCCTTTTTTTTGCTGGGCAGTGTATATTAAGGAAAAGATTTATGTGTTTCCTCTTTTGTTTCTTTGACAGAAGTGATGCAGTTTATTTGCCACTTTTGCTGTAAGACTTGCTCAAGGGGAAGCTGTAGAGAGAACCCCTATAGAGCTGATCTGAGGCAGGCACTCCAGACTGTGGCAGCACACAAGCTGTGCAGACAGTGGGCTGGGGATAGAAGACGGGGGCCGGGGCTGGGAGGAATGGGATGTGTATGGAGGGAGGTGTGAGCCATAGGGGTGTGCACATCGCTGCCTCTCTCTCCAGTCGTGTGTGTGTATTATTGTGGAGAGCACTGATCGCTTGGACTGCTGGGAAGAAAGGAAAGGCTTGGATACTAATGTAGCAATGAATCAGACTGCTCTCCCATCTTCACAGACTTCAGTGTGACCAGGCTTCGGTCGTAATGATCTTGGATCTCCGCTGGCACCACGAACATGGATGACAAGTCCAACAAGCTGCTCCTGGCCCTGGTCATAGTCTTTCTGTTCGCTGTCATCGTTTTGCAGTATGTGTGCCCGGGCACGGAATGCCAGCAGCTCCGTCTGCAAGCTTTCAGCTCCTCTCTGGTGGACCCCTACTGGGCTGAAGACGAGACCCCGGCCAAATTCATCCCCAAATTCAATTTCAGCGTGGACGACCTGCTGAGGAAGGTGGACTTCAACATCAACGGGGACGATCTGATCGTCTTCCTGCACATCCAGAAGACAGGGGGGACCACGTTCGGTCGCCACCTGGTCAGGAACATCCGCCTGGAGCAACCTTGCGAGTGCAAAGCTGGCCAGAAGAAGTGCACCTGCCACAGACCGGGCAAGAAGGAGACCTGGTTGTTCTCCAGGTTCTCTACAGGCTGGAGCTGTGGTCTGCACGCAGACTGGACGGAGCTGACCAACTGTGTCCCTGCGGTGGTGGACAATAAGAAGGAGATCAAGCTCAGACCCCTAAGGTGAGTGACCACCCTGCTCTTGTAAGCCCTCCATCCCAGGGATGGCATTGTCACAACCAAGAGATCTTCAGCCTGCTCCTCTGCTGGGAGAGCACAAAGGAGATCTGGTGCTCTTTGTGTTAGAAATATAAGCCATTTTGGAGCAAGCATCCAGTGAATTGTATTAGGAAACTTTTATAGCCTTAGATGTCACTGCTAGACAAAATACCTAATAAAAATCACAAACTCTCAGTGTAAGCAGTTCAACCCACAGCCCTGACATGTGTGCTCCTTGAGGATGTTCAAGTTCCAGACATTAAACTGCTGAATGGTACTGCAAGAGGGATGTTAACCCTTTCAGCTCCCCTCTACCACCGGATCAGCTTATAAGTGAACTTGCATATCTCTGCAGAATTTATTTTAGGGGGGGATTGGTATTTTGGGGGGGATAAGTCTGTAAAGCCTTTCTGTAGATAATGGCTCATAGGCAGAAGTGGAAGAGATCACATGGCAGGCTACAAATGGCAAAGATGGCATTTGACAGGTTGTCTACATGGGCGACTAGAAGAGCTTACAGTCTAGTGGGTGTGAAACTGTCAAAATGACTCAAATCTTGCGTGCGGTTGAAGTGGGAAGCCGCTTTTACTCTCCATTGTTTTTTTCTAGTTTTCATAACCATTGTTTTATATTTCTGCCTGTGTAGACTATGAGCCCCATTGTGACTATCCCCGAAGTGTCTTTTCCGCACCTTCCCTGCAGGGTGACACAAGAATTTGGTTGTAATGGCATTCACTCTTGATCATGCACTCTAATCTTCAAAATATCTATCTATCTATCTATCTATCTATCTATCTATCTATCTATCTATCTATCTAATCTCTTTCTAGCTAACACACATCTTTGCACCATCATTCTAGTACACCCAAATCTGTCCTCCCTTCCAAAATATTTTCCTACTATTACATTGTTTACATTTGGCACAAAATCTGACTGCTCTGAACTCTAAATATTATGTATTAAGCTTTTTTTTTTTTTTTTTAACTTTACTACATGTTAATGAATTGCTTGTTTATTTTTATGTTGTATACATCAGTTTTGTGCTGCAGGAAGAGCCTTAAGGGGTTAACGTTTGAAGGCAACCTTATTTGTCAAGCAATTTATGTGTTTTTGTTTCTTTGTTTGAATATTGACATTCCAGACTTCCACTGTGTACCAAACTGAGTAAAATCCAGGTGCCTCTATGTATAATGAATGAGAGAAAGAAAAAAAAAACCTCATAATGTACTTGTTTTTCTTACAAAATAATGAACTAACCCCTCCAGTAATTTGTGGTTTCCTATATGATCTGGGGGTGAGCTAATTAACACTGGTGGTAATAAACATTTCATCTCCCGCCATAAATGTATTGGTCTGTGCACTGAATATTAAATTGGGCTGGAACGTGCTTTGCAGACTAAGCCGAGTTATATGTTAGGAGTCTGTGAAGAGGTACAAGTGTAACGCAGTCCTGTATGAATACTTACTGTCTTTGCTACGACTCTCTACCCTTTTACTGTCTATGGCAATGTTGACTGGCCAATAAAATACTGTTTAAAGGGGCATCAAGCTGGTTTAACATCCATTGACTAAAGTATAATTTCTGCATACTCTGCATAGTATAACATCTGGAGGATACGTAGATATTCACTGTATGCACAGAAAACACCCAATGCCAGGATCTTTTATTTATACAAGTTAACCTGCTCAGATGCATAACCAAAAACTACAAGGCCTTAAGGCAAAGGGGGCCCCTTCTCATATTGCATGATCAAACCTTTGGCTGCTCTGTTTGGTCTACAAGGTGCTCATTTTTATTTTACAAAAAATGCATCAAATATTTCTTATTTCTACCACTGTAAGCCGGCTAGACTCTCAAACAATAGACTACTGAGGAGGGAAGAAATTTGAAGGGAACTGGAATTTCAGTGTTTTCCTGTACAGATTGGTGTATATAGGTACATAGCTAGTAAATAAAGGGAAACAGCCATAATGATTGGGCCCCCGTATGGGCTCTGGAGCCATTGCCCACTGTAGTTAAGCTGTAGGTCCTTATACTGCTGTATAATATATTAATTTTTATTTACTTGATCATCATTTCTAAGTCTCCATTCGCACTTTTGCGTCTGCATTTTCGTGTGTTTTGAGAATGTTTTTGTTGCAGATTGTTAAGTGTTTTAGTGCGTTTTGAGTGCGTTTTCATGCGTTATGCATTTTTGTCTTGGCCAATGAAGGTGAAATAAAGTATAGGTTGCTTGTAAGGGGGAGGGCTTATTGTCATGCGCTAAAATGCACAGAAATGCATATTACATGCATTTTCATGTGCTCCCATTTAAGTCTATGGGGCTAAAATGCACTAAAAGAAGCACTTGTACCTTTCTAAAAAAAAAAAACACTGCTTCATGTTATATAGACGGGAACGGGCCCCATAGAGAATCATTTGATTTCTATTACTGTGCATTGTAGTGGGATGACAGATGCCCGGCACATTACACTAGTGTGCACATAGTGTGAACATACTAAAGCAGAACTCTAAACACATTTACAAAATCATTCTACTGCTAGTATAATTGCATACAATGAATCTTTACAATAAAAAATTGTCTGCAAGTTGGAAATCAGGCTGCACACTGGAATGGTATCAATTTACAATTAGCGTTGCACAGTGCTTTTGAGCTAACATATTTCAGGGCTGGAGGGAAAGACGTGCAGGCAAGTTACAGAGTGGACCTCACTGGTGGGCTGATGATCATTCATAGTCCAGTAGGTAGCTGCATTTGGCAAGGTGACACACAAAGATACAGAGCTGAAGGCCCAAATAGGTATGTCAGCCTCCAGCCATATTGTGGCAGGAGTATGTAAATCACAAAGTTGAAGAGAATCATTCATCTACTGGCAGGTACTGCAGTTCATGTATACAGTATATGAGTTTTGGCTGTGCATTTACCTGTTTATTTGGACCTCTGCTATAACAGGCGATTTAACAGAACATGGTTGACTATTCAAAAGCCACAATGGAGCTTATGTGTTTAGACCATGCAAAGAGTAGTGATGTGCGTTAACCCTTTGCAGCCAGTGAAAACATGACTATCATCTATTCAGAGTAGTCAGGAACAATGAAAAATGTTTGTTTGCTTTTGGCTTAATGCATCATACAGATTACATCTTATTTTAGACTTTATTCAGTACGGCAACACAGACAGGACTAATGATGTGCAGAGGTCAATAACTTCTAGCAAAAACAACCAGATCTAACATTATGAGATTTAGATTAGGAAAAGACACATTTTGATTGGAAGGTATGAGTTATCACACTGCACATAGTCATTAGTTTTGCACTGTGTTAACAGATAACGATGACTCAAAAAAGGCCTATCAGCCTAAGGGCTGTTGTACACGGCCATCTGTGGCTGCACAATGTAAATTTGGGCATATTTCCACTGCCTCGGAGACTCAGGTGCTGCGTACAGACTCCCATAGAAGTCAATGGCTGCACATGAATATACACCAGACTTGTATTAACATGTGCATGTGTACAGGCATTCAAACCCAATAGAGAAAGGTGCAGAGTGCAGTACCTCATAGTACCTCAACTAATCCATCATCATATTTCACAGCTGTGAACACCGTACACTATAATATGAATAGCTGTTCTAAGTTGCACATCTTTTTTGCCGCTTGGGCTGTCTTTTGGAACAATAATGGCCAAAGACTAACATCCATGGCCAGCTCAAGAGCTATGTATGTTAATACAATGTAAGGGGTTTACCAACAGTATAGAAGATGGTGCGCATTAAACTTGTAGGGATTTTTGTTATTGTACTCTTTATTAAGGTTCCCGTGTGTGCCTGTTTATATGACATTCTGGTTGGAGCGTGCCACCATCTGTGAACGCCCTGTAAAGTCCCTGGCCAACTCAAGAGCAATGTTTGCTAATACAATGTAAGGGGGGTTTACTGCTGCTGCTGAATTACCAACAATAAAGAAAATGACGCACATACAACTTGCAGGGATTTTTGGTAATGCACTCCTTTTTAAGGTTCCATGTCTGCCTGTTTATGTGACAATCTGTTTGAATTGTACCTCCAACTCTGATCGCCCACTAACGTCCATGGGCAGCTCAAGAGCTGCTAAGTGTGTCAATACAATGTAATGCGGGGCACACACCTTACAACCATCGCAAGATTTTTGTCTTGAGATGGTTGCAAGGTAATTAAAAAAACGTACGATCTACCTATCTTGGACAGGCAGATCGTACTTGCGATTATCGGGGGCTTCCGATGACCGCAATGCCGAACGGGCAGTGTGTGCTTGTGCACATCGGCCCGTCCGGCTTTTATTAAGGTTCCCATAATGGTATATAATACATATAAGCACATTATTACATTACTCATGTACTTAGCGATGCATTGGAAAAATTAGCAGGGCATTTGTCTGTTTAAGAACTAATTGTGCTTGTGTTATTGATGAAAATGTAATGAAAGGTATTACCTTATAATGTGTAGTGTCAGCGGAAAGGATTTCACTGGACGCGTAGGTAACAATGGTAATGGACACAGTCTTGGGGAAAATGTATACATAAGCAACTATGGAACATGGATACAATGGGAACTGCTGTTACATTCCTTCAGCTGTTTACTGCTAGGATCCTGCTATTAGATGACTTGCATTTACTTATTATAATCGTTTATCTCTAGATTCATCGACGATCAATCTATCTGGTTATATGCATCTATATTCACATATATACGTGTTTGCTGTATGAATGTGTTCTCTATTCTGCATTCTGTGTGCAAATCAAGAATGTAATGAAGCACATACAATAGGATTGAGTGTGCTATCAAACATCAATCCAGTTGTATTTGCTTCAGTTAACTGCTCACATTGGATGCACATCTTTGCCGTCTATTAATATACATTAGACGTACATTGGATGTATGCGTTATATAAGCATGGGTAATGTCAGTAAGCACGCAAAGTCAAGT